AGTGGTATCTCGGTGCCTTTGAAATCATCCAACCTGGTGATCGACATATCTACTCTTTTTTTGTTCGGTTTCAAAATTGTTGCACTCTCAGCTAGTTTAGACCTCGACATCGGCGTGCTCATCAATTTTTGTGTTGAAACTGCTAATTCATTTATTCCTGTATTCACTTATTCCGTTCATTTTTATTTTCTCATTCGATTATTTTGAGGAATATAAACCAAATTCATGGTCTTTACCATTGATGCAAAAGCGTGCTGATATTAAAACTGATTGTCAACCCCTTGGCACTATCAAAGGAAAGCACTCGAGGAAAAAGAACATGTTGTATCTCGGGATTTTTTGCGTATTTTGCGAGAAAAGTTCACTTGAAGTTGGCAACCTCGAATTAGCCATGTGTTAAACACCCAAACTCTAACTTCAAACATCTCTGAAAGTCGCAAAGAGTTGCAAGATCTTTTCGGTAGAATTGAAGTTGGATATGTGAGGATTATGAAAATGTCAACCACCCAGAGCATTTTGCGTCTCAGGCGAGAAACTTCATTTGGATTACATTTTGCAATAAGGAACCACTATTTCTGGCCCATTTTAGAAACAACATACATGCTATTGGTTTCCCTATGCAGATGTGTGCTTTGATGGAAGAGCCAGAGATAGTGGTTCCTTATTGCAAAATGTAATCCATTTGAGGTTGAAGTCTTTTTCTCGTGTATTTCTTATGGACCAGTGATCCTCGACCCATTTCCGGCCCACTTTCTCCCCAAATAAGTCGTTCTGAGCGACCATTTGAAAATGAACCATCATTGTGAGTCAGAAATATCTTTAAGATGACGAACCCCCCCAAAAAATATTCCGATTGCGAGTTGTGAATTTTTTATTTTTGTCCACAGAGAGCTGCACTGCACGGCGCCGCAAACGTGGTGCCCTGTGGTAGCGTGGCCTAAACGAGAAATTTAAATATGAAGTTAAATTTCGGTGGCGAGGGCGGTGATGATAAGGGGAGAGACGCACCCCGCACCGCGCACCGCGCTCCTTGACTCCGCGAGCTCAAATATTTGCGCTCGGTTTCCCGAATTCCCGCTCCTCGGAATTGGGGGCTCAGAAGTTTGACGTGAACGCCGTTGAAAGCTTTCCGGCCGTGCCACGGAAAAACGCCGTGTCAATATGCTGACAATGCCAAAATCCACCGATAAAATATTTATTCCGGAGGAATCTTAAGAATATTTGCACCGCGTTAAGCAGAAAGGAACCAATCCACATCAGCCTCGCAAAATTCAATTGGGCCATTCAATTTATTCATGAAAACGGTTGTGTGAATTTTTGTGCAAATTTCAGTGAATTTTCTGCATAGTATGAAGTGAATTACTTAAAATTCTCAAAGGAATTTGCATAAACGTTCTCTTGCGGAAAAATTAAATTGTCCGGTTAAATTTGGCAAAAGCTGATGCGTTTTGGTTCTTTTCTGCATGAGTCATCAATCAGTGAATCAGAGAATCAGATGTATTTCTGTCAAACGGAACTATGTGCATTTAGACATGAGCCCTGAGACCCGTAAGAATACATGTATAACAGGGCTCATGTCATAATGCACATAGTTCCTTTTGGTAGAAATACGTTCAATTGGCCTCCTTGAGTAACTTTTACACCATGAGTAAGAATACAGTGCGGAGTCTTTAGAGTATATCGCCTCTGCATGGGCCTTCAAAAAATTAAATAGATAATACTTTTTTTCTATTTTTTCCCCAACGTTTTCGCATATACCGTTAGGAACCTACAGCCATCTATATACATTACTATAGCGCCCGTAGAAACCACAAAGACATCTATACTCCATCCATCCACGCTCTACACCTTTCAAATGCGAAAGTGGACAAAGTGCCTTTTCTTCAATTTTCATTATGCAGTTCATCGACTAAAGCTCATTTTATCCGTGCGAAGCTTATTGAATTGAAAATCACGTTTGAGTGAGTTGCGACCTTGTAAACGGCGACTCTCTCAGTCTTGCATTAGAATACGATTACCAAAGCAAGAATACTGCAAATCCACAATCTTAACCGTGCGTTTGGACTCTCTTTCTTAAAATAATACTTACAGAAAAAAAAAATTGAATGTGCAGAAATGTTCTTCGGGCATTTTGAAAAATTATGGCTCGATTGAAGACTCCGAAATTCCGAACTTTTCTGGCCATTGTCGTTCTACAGGGTCACTCAGATACGATACATAAAAGCGCCTTCAACCAACTATGTAATCTTAATGCGAGATGCTCATACCACTATTCGTACGTTATGACAGTCACTTTGCATATCCGGCCAATTGAAGGAAAATCATTGACCCAGGCAACAGGGAACGAACTTCAGCAATGTGACACGTTTTTCTTACGGCACAAAACCTCCGACGCGGCCCCGCTTGACATCCAAGAAGCCAAACCCGCAGACCCCCCCCCCTT